AAATAGTAGACCTTGAAATGCAAGTATATGTGACTCTGCTACTGGGTTATATGGCCTTTCGGTCCATGGACATCTGTGGCCCTTCTTCAAGGGATTAAAGGCACCCAAATTAACTGCCCAAGTTTAATGAGATCAGCCTGAATCGGAAGTGAAATCACCTTGGCACTAAGTGAAAACCAGTGCCTTCCTCCACTCCTGCTCCCTCCAGAAGGAGGCTATTTTCTAAACACCTCTTGAAGAGCAGCAGTTATTCAATAGATGTGTTAATTTTATTTTTTATTTTTTTATTTTAAAAATATATTTTATTGATTTTTTACAGAGAGGAAGGGAGAGGGATAGAGAGTTAGAAACATCGATGAGAGAGAAACATCAATCAGCTGCCTCCTGCACACCTCCTACTGGGGATGTGCCCGCAACCAAGGTACATGCCTTTGACCGGAATCGAACCCGGGACCTTTCGGTCTGCAGGCTGACGCCCTATCCACTGAGCCAAACTGGTTAGGGCGATATGTTAATTTTATTAACCCTGGGTGCTTGCCTTCAATTTTATTTTATTATTTAAAATATATTTTTATTGATTTCAGAGAGGAAGGGAGAGGGAGAGAGATAGAAACATCAATGATGAGAGAATCATTGATCGGCTGTCTCCTGCATGCCCCCTACTGGGGATCAAGCCTGCAACCCGGGCATGTGCCCTTGACCGGAATTGAACCCAGGACTCTTCAGTCCGCAGGCCAATGCTCTATCCACTAAGCCAAACCAGCTAGGGCTGCCTTAAGTTTTAAAGTGTGTGAGAGAGTATTTGTGTGGCAGGGAGGAGACAAGGAGAAGGGCTGAGGAAGGAGAACACTCATGATCCTTCCTATGGTGGGCCACAGAGCTGTTGAAAAGATAAAAATACAGACATACTACAAGTAAAGTGTTTTCCAAAATGTAAAATAGCTACAGAAAAAGAAAGCCTTAAAATGAGTCCAAATGCTTTGGGTTTTGCCTTAGCCAGTTGCGCAGTGGTTAGAGCATTGGCCATGCATTTGATTTGGGTCAAGGGCACTTACCTCTGTTGCAGGCTCCATCCCAGCCCACGGGGGCATGTGGGAGGCAACCAACTGAGGTGTCTCTTTCACATTGATGTTTCTCACTCTCTGTCTCTCGCGCTCCCTTCCACTCTCTCTAAAAATCGATGGGCTCTAGCCCATTGTTTGGCTCAGTGATAGAGCATCAGCCTGCGGACTGAAGGGTCCCAGGTTGATTCTAGTCAAGGGCATATGCCTGGGTTGCAGGGTCGATCTCCAGTAGGGGGCGTGCAGGAGGCAGCCGATAAATGATTCTCTCTCATCATTGATGTTTCTATTTCTCTCTCCCTCTCCCTTCCTCTCTGATATCAATAAAAATATATTTTAAAAAATCAATGGGAAAAAATATCGAGTGAGAGTTAACAACAACAAAAAGCTTTGAGATTTTTAATTTGTTTGTTTTTTGGTGTGTGTGTAAATTCATAGAAGTAGAATACTACCGAATATGATAAACTTTAAGGTTGACAAACTAATGAATTCAGAATCAAGCATTTAATCAAACTTGTAGGTTTGAATTTGCATATTTATAGTGTAATGAATTTCACATTGTCTAATAGAGTAAAAATTTATATTTTATTAGCATTTAGTTATATATTTTGAAACAATAATTGATGCTTCATAAACTTATAATGAAATTTTCTCTCATGAATTTAAGCTAAAAATATAATGATCTATGTTGTGGTTAAGTAATATTTTAAGATATTTTTAAATTGTTTTTTTTTTTTAGAGGTACATATTGAAAGAGATAAATTGATATGCTGTGAGGGAGTTCCTTCAAAACAGTGCAACTGTTTAGTATCACACATGAAAGAAAATGAGATTATTGAATAACAGATAAGGAGGCTATAGATGCTGATGAAATTATAATTCCATTTCTAGATAAGATAGATGGGAAACTTCATGCAATTAATTTTGTACAGTCTGTAAAAAACAACAACCTAACAACACCCTGACAACTAGATTGATTTTTCAGTAGCTATAATGAGTTGATTTTAGAAGCACAGTAATAGTGTTTCCTTTTGGGGGTTGGGGGACCCAGGGAAAAAAACTGTGAAATTTTACTATGTGAAACAGTTCCTTAGTTAATTTTAATGATTTGTCAGTTGTTGTTTTTTCTGACTGAGGTTATTCTCTGGTATTCAGTGAATCTAGATTTTAAACCCTGCCAGATATCCTAAAGCTAAACAACAAGGTCTATTGATGGCAGTTCCTAGTTCTTTTACAACTACTACTTAAGGTCTAATATTGCTCATATAAAAAGACTAGAGGCCTGGTGCATGAAATTCGTGCACTCGGGGGGGGGGGTCCCTCAGCCCAGCCTGTGCCCTCTCGCAGTCTGGGAGCCCTCGGGGGATGTCTGAAAGCCCATGGGGAGTGGGCCTAAGCCAGCAGTCGGACATCCTTAGTGCTGCTGTGGAGGCGGGAGAGGCTCCCACCACCACCACTGTGCTCGCCAGCCGTGAGCCCGGCTTCTGGCTGAGCAGCACTCCCCCTATGGGAGTGCACTGATCACCAGGGGGCAGCTCCTGCATTGAGCATCTGCCCCCTGGTGGTCAGTGCACATCATAGCAACCACATATTCCTCCGTTCAGTCGATTTGCATATTAGCCTTTTATTATATAGGATAATAACTAAATGGCATTTACTACATTAATGTCCTGAACTAAGGATTCATGTATATTACCATTGCATACTGGAAATTGAGGCTCGGAGAGGTAAAATGACTTGCCTAACGTCACCCAGCATGTAACTGGCTGAGGTTGGTCCCAAACCCTGATCTCCTGGAGTATTCTTTCCATTAGAGACACTGATCTCATAGCTTTGGCCTCTGCCAACTAATGTTTTACACCCACTGATATCCTTGTATTCTGCTTATTGCTAATCTTTAGTGTTGTCAATGTGGACATATTTATCAGACCTCTCAACAAAGGACATGTTAAATAACGACACTAGTACGGCATCAACAAAATTTAGACTGTGATAAATTCTACATGACCAGTTAGTTGCTTTAATAAAGTTTTAAGGAAAACTAAATGGGAGTGAGTACCTATAGATTAAAAGAGACAAGAGACAGACCAACCAAATGCTTTGTGTTTTGAAACTTGTTTGAATCCTGATTCAAATAAAGCAACTGAAAAAAAACATTATTAACCAATCAGGAAAATTTAAACAACGGATATTTAATGATATTAAGGAATTGTTAACTTTTACATGTAATGCTGGTATTGTGTGTGGTTAAGTATCTAATATGTAAAGATATTTTTAAAAATCGTTATTTATTAGAAGTACATACTGAAAGAGATAAATTGATATGCTGTTAGAGAGTTCCTTCAAAACAGTGCAACAGGTGGAGATGATTGGTCTTTAGTTGGTAAATGTTGAAGCTGTGCTTGGGGCACCTGAGGGTTCATTATATTATCCTGCCTAGTTTTGAGTCTGTTTCACTTCTTCCACAAAAGAATGCATTGTAGCCCCACCGGTGTGGTTCAGTGGTTGACAGTGGACCCATGAACCAGGTCAGGGGTTTAATTCTGGTCAGGGCACATGCCTGGTTGCAGGCTCATCCCCAGTAGGGGGCGTGCAGGAGGCGGCCGATCAATGATTCTCATCACTGATGTTTCTATCTCTCTCTCCCCCTCTCTTTTCCTCTCTGAAATCAATAAAAACATATAAAATATTTTTTTAAAAGAATGTATTGTTCAACTATGACCCCAGAGTAGAACATTCCTTTGATTTTAAATTGTATAATGCCTCATTTCAGGAATGCCTCTGAAGGGCACTAGAAGTAATCTATCCAATCTCCACGTCCCCTTCCTTTACTTTTGGGCACAGAGTTGGAGGTGAGGGAGTGGTGATGGGGGGTGGGGGTGGGGTTGTTCTCTCCTCCTCCCCCTTCCAGGGTCCAGTTGCAAGCTGGATAACCTCCAAAAGATTTCTAATCTTTCTTAAACTAAAGCCTGAATTAGGGGGCGGGGGAGGGGGTAGATGTATAGGGGGAAATGTCGGTTGACAGCATTGTTTAATCTTTGGTCTTGATTTTGCTAATTAATCACTTTGTGGTCACAGAGCAGAAGAACGTATACCTTTAATTTTTCTGCTCACGTGACAATGTTTTTGTTTTTAGGGTCCTTTTTGCTGTACAGGAAATTCCCGGAGAGCTGACGTCACCACCCCCCGGTTACAGTAATTACTGTATTGACGCTACGTGTTTTCAAAGCTTACAAAGTTGCGGTGCCGCGTCAGGACAGTTTCAGAGTTCAGACTTAAGTCATTGTTTTTCTGTGATGTGATCTTCAGGCAGCGTTGACCCTGGAGCCCTGAGAAGAGCTGGATTTCTTTTTTTAGGTCCCTGTTGATCTATTTCCCAGGTCCGGGGCATAAAGCAGAGCACGCGCTACACTCACACCCCCGGTAGGGGAACCACTGGCAGCGTTTACGGGCGCAGTGCGCCTGCGCAGCTGGTTCCCACCAACTCTCCCGCCATTCCCCGTCGGGCTAGCAGGGGGCGCTGTGACGCAATGGACCAGGCCTCTCCCTAGGGCTCTGGAACCGAGTGCAAAAGGGCAGGAGGCGAGGCGGGCTGAGGGGCGTTCTATCCCCGAGAGCGCTGGTCTCTATCGCCCTTTGTCCTCCAGCCTCCCGGGGTCACTGGGCCTGCGGGC